TTTGTCTCTCATAGTTGAGGTATACCTATGATGAAAATTACAGGCCTCTCTCATCTTTTTAAGTGGGAGAACTTGCACAATTGGTGGCTGACTAAATACTTTTTTGCCCCACTGTACCACTTGCTAATTATTCTTTCTAGATGAATAATTTAATTTGAAGTTTTAAGTAGTCATTAGATATAGGAATGCTGTAATTGCATATATAATAAGCATGGGGGGGGAAAACATTTCACAGTATGACCTATTTTTTGTGCTCCTAAATTTCTTCAATCTTTTCTGGAAAGCTGACCTATTCACAAGCCACACTTCCAGTGTGTTTAGGTTACTATCTGAGATTATGTATAAAGTTTGAATGAGATTTTGGATGCCTGGGGGCCCAGTGATGGTATCTAAGCACCAAGATACCAGACAACACAGAGGCCTTGTGATGACTGCCAGTTCTGTTAGAAGTAATTTTGTGCTTAACTAAGATGTACAATTCTTAGATGCAGTTTACTGTGCATATGTTATAGTAAACTGTATCTTGGATTGTAAATGGAGGGGGGAAAATAAATTTATGTACCTATTCTGTATTATATCTTGTTAGAGATTTAACTTCAACAGTGCTTTAACTGTGTGCGAGACAGGTGCACTATAATTTAAGGCCATATTATACAAGTGCTATTCTCTAGTTTTTTGTTGTAGACATTGCTCCAAGCAGGTTTTATAGGACCATAAAATACTTTGATATAGAGATCCACAAATGCACTAGAATTCTAAGCCAGCTGTTCACTTTTTCTATTTTTCTGTGGGGAAGCATTTTAGGAAAGATCCTTTCCACTTATTTAAATGGCAAAATTGTTCTATAATTGTTCATTCAGGCTGTTAATTAGAATGGGTTTCCCAAGTGAGCTTCTTGCTGATTGAATAATGTATTTGGCCACTGGATGCTCTGAATATTTAACTGATGGTAGTGAATGTTTTGTTTATTGTCTCATTAATATAAAGGATCTCAAAGTGGATTCACTTTGTGCTAGATACAGATACAGGTAGTCCTCGACTTACGACCATTTGTTTAACGACCATTTGAAGTTATGACAATGCTGAAAAAAGTGACTTATGACTGGTCCTCGCACTTGCAACCATCGCAGGGTCCCCACAGTCATGTGATCAAAATTTGGGCGTTTGGCAACCACCATGTATTACAATGGTTGCAGTGTCCCAGGGTCACATGATTGCCATTTGTGAACTTCCCAGGGGGTTTCTGAAAGGAGAATGAATGGGGGAAGCTGGACCATGTGATTTGCTTAACAACTGCGGCAAAAAAGGTGGTAAAATCAGGTGCAACTCACTTAATGACTGCATTACTTAGTGATGGAAGTTCTGGTCCCAATTGTGGTTGTAATTCAAGGATTACCTGTATAGCAAAAAAAATTCAAATAGTCATAAAATCCAGTAATTAAAATACAACAATATTTTAAAAGTTGGAAGTCAAAAGTCAAAAAAAGTCTGGTAAATTAGAACTCTGCTTGGTGCCAAAATGATAGTGAAGATAATACCAAGTGGATTTTTCTGGGATCAGCATTCTGTTATTGGAGAAAGCTTCCTCTTAGTTAGCCATGTACTTCGTTGCAAATGACAGGACAAACCAAACCACACTCCTGTAGAGCCTGTTATACCAGTAATATTCAAAGATGAATAGTTCCACATATCTTATTCCTAAACCATAAAGAATTTTAAAAGTCAGAACCAATCCCAGTTGCATCAAACATGGTGGCTGACTTTCAATTTCATCTGCAGATTCTGGACAGTCTTTCAGCATTTAATACAGTAGAACACATGGTAATATTACAGTTCTAGTAATGTCATCAGTTATGGTGTGAAATTCTGTCTAGGTCATCCAAATGACAAGCTTCCATATTGGCCTGGCTACTTGAAATAGGTATGAATTATTCCGGTCTTGGAAAGTATGTATTAGAGGCAGAAGGGTTAAGTTATAGGTCAGTTATGTGTGTCTTCTATTCTAACAGAAGTGTTTGGAAGCTTGCCTTGTTGGAAGTGACCCTTAAAAGATGTATTTGGGGAATTTTCTATATAATCTCCCCTGCTCTTTTGTGTGCCGTAAACACTGGAGATTGCTCAGAGGCAGGTTAATTAGTAAACACTCTTGTGACTGTTATTTTTTGTGGCCTTTGTTTAGATGCCACTGAAATAAGTGTATTTAGTGGATAGAGACTGAGCTTGGGAGGAGAGTTATTTGTCTGAACATCGACAGTGAGAAAGATTGCAAGAGCGCATCTTCCTAATTTTTAAGGCTGCAGTTCAACAAGAGTTGGCAGTGATTATGTGTGGAAGTTTTCATCTGGAACCCACCGAAGTTACCTTATTTTAAAAGCTGAGAAGATATTACCATGGATACTGATGGGTTGTCATAAAGGAAGTTGACCATGTGCAGACAATCTTTTTACATCCACAGGGCTGCATTGCCTGCATGCTCACTTGATTGTTAGTGGCTATGGGAAGCAGTGGGCAAAAATAATGTCACGCAAACAGGGAAAGATGAGACTTATTGATGTATAAATACTGGGGCCAGAGAGGAGAAATTACTTAACATGTTGAACTATTCTAATGGCTTGCGCATTCTTCGTCTTAGGAGAGGTTGAGATAACCTAATTGCTAATATTCTCTCCCAGAAATGCCAAAATATGGGACAGTGCTTTATGTACTAGGAAGTCTGATTTCGTTCTTTTCATATAGATAGGGACTTGAAACTGTGGTGTAAGACTTCTAGCATTTTGCCATTTTTGTTTACTTAGCTTTAATAAGGTCATATTAAATTTCTGTTGGGAGGTTGCAATTATGTAGAGAGAGTTGTGGCTTGCTCATTTTACCTTGCTCCTAGATACCTATCAGTCACTTTCTAGTTTCTTACCTTCAGTATCCAATAGAAGCTTCCACCATAACCTCTTGTCATGTATCTGAGGAGAAAATACTTGAGAATTTCTCTTTATGTCCTCATCTCTAGAAAACAAATAATTTGGAAACTGTCAAAATCAGTAATACACAACTGTCAAACTGTTGCTCCGCTGCTGAGCTGATACAGATGTTGGCAGAACATAATGCTATAATGAGTACTGAATGCTGCATTGCTGCAGAATAACAGCCAGGTTGGCCAAGAATTTTGGGACATAAAAGTTCAATGCATCTGATGGGCACCAGATTGGGGAAGTCTGCTTTAAAATTTATATGTTATTATAAGAAAACCAATGGGACATTACAGAAATTTTCATTTAATACTAATGAATGTGACCATGATATCCCTCAATCTGTTTTGCTTCTATTAGTTGGAATTTTGATTTAATATCAACTTAAATGCTGATCTAATTTTGAAATGGGCAAAATAAAATGCAGAATTAATGTATATATGAATAGAAGTGTCTTTTTTAAAAATTGAATTCAAGTTTATATAGGTGAATAGATATTTTAGGCAAGAAATACTGGCTTTGCTTGGTTGGAACATGTTCAACAAGAGGCACAAGTTGGTTTTGTGCTATAATGAAATGTTTTTATTTTCTTTTGTCCAACCCACAGCAGTTGGGCAATGTTCAATTATTACCAGTAATACTGTAATTGAGAGCCCATATTTAGAACATCTAAACATATACCAAGAATAGTCCTTACTACTAGGAAGAAAAAGCAGGGGGTTTTTTGCTCTATTTTATTTGGGTACAGGATAATAGAAAACAATTGTTTCTTTCTTAGCAAAGATAAATGGAAATTTAGGAAAAACAAGCAATCAGAACAGCACACAACAATGGAACAAGTGATAGTTGCTATTGCCAGTAGCAGGAAAGTAACTGCATTACTTCCTATTTTAAAGGCACATAATTCTAATTTAAATGTACATGGTTTCCAGTTGAAAACAAGATACCTGCCTTAATAATACATTATCTCCATTTTAGAAGTTAATGATTTGTGTTGCATTCCTGATGGAGGCGATTAAATCCCCAATTTTCTTTTTCTTTTTTTTTAAAAAGTACATCTCATGGTTTTTTAAAAAGTACTCTCTTGATTATGGGCAAGGTTCTGTGCTGTTGCTGGTATTTGCTTTGTACTAAAGTCCAAAGAAACTTTAATGGAATACACTTGGAGTAAGTGTCCTTTTAATTTATGGAGGCCTAATGCAGTGCTTGGAACATTTCAGTTGTAGTTGCAAATACATTATTTTTCACTCCTGAAAAATGAATTCAGTGATAGGAAAAAGGAGCTTACTGTATTTGTACTGTAAGAAAAGTAATTTGAAATATGAAGATACCTTTTACCAGTTTATTTTATGACATCTTCCTGATATATAATTGGGTTACTATGTTTTTGCTATGTATTTGACTGTGTTCATAGTTTCATGCTTTACTTTTGTACCTTATAGCTTGCATATATTTTGAACATAATTTTCCTACTATATTAACATTTTCTTTATTGGGGAAAAAGCAAACAGCTAAAAAGCAATATATTTAGGAGGCTTTAATGAGAAATCTGGTTTCCTATTTTCTTTTCTAATTCAGACTCCAGGTTAAGTGGAGTGATGGATGGGGAGTTCCAGACAGTCTGTGTTGAAGCTTTTGTTCTACACACATCCCTGATATATCTTCACGAGTATCTTGGCATCACAGTTTTCATATGTAGTTGCAGGAGTAAACTAAACCTGGATGTTTCCTGCAAAAATGCTCTGTAGAGTTAAATAAGGGAGGGATCCATCTATTACAGGATGAGGGACCTCCCATCATTATATGCGAAATCTTTCTCAAGAGCTAACTTAGTCTAATGTGGCTTTATTTCAGGCTACACAGTATACTTTTCATCTAAATTTCAATAATTACTTGTGTTTTAGAAGTAGTAATTACCCTGAATAAGAAGTAAGCTGCTTATTTGCATAGATGTGTCGTAAGTAAAAATAGGAGAAGAAAGTACTGTGTATGCCACATTGAGCTGCTGAATCAAAATGGGATATGTATCAAATAAACAGTACCAACCACATACTATTCAAATGCAAATTATGTTTGGAATTGAGTATTTACTCAAAACTGAAGACTTCTGAGTTTGTTCACAGTCCAATCAGAAAGGGACACAGGAGAATCCTGTGATTTTGTTAAGGCTTTTGACTGTATAGACCTCAACAAATTGTGGATAGCCATTGAAAATATGGATGTAGCAAATCATCTGCCCATTGAATACTTTCTGTGATTACCAGGAAGCAATAGAACATGGAACAACTAAATGGTTCATAATTGGGAGAGGAATGTTCCAAGATTATATAGTGTCACTGTGTTTATTTAAGTTGTATGCAGAATATAGGATGAGAAGTGCCAAGCTAAAGAAATAGAAATAACCTTACTTATACTGATGATACTATTCTGAGGGCTAGAAACAAGGAAGCCTTAAGGAATCTCTTATGAAAGCAAAGAATGTACAAGCTGGTCTGCTGCTCAATATTGAAAAAGACCCCCTAAGATTATGAAATCAGGTAGTGCCAGTCCAATGCAGATAGGCAGAAGACACAGTAGTAGTTACTCTCTTAGGCTCAAAAATTCACAGGAATGGTGATTGCATCCATGAAATGGACATCTGCTACTTGAGAGAAAGTCTGTGGCAAATCTATACAAGATATTATAGTGCAGAGATTTCACGCAGACGTAAAAGGTATGTGTTATTAAGGCCATAATTTTCCCAGTTGTAGCATAAGGCTATAAAATCTGGGCAATCAGAAAGGCTGACCAAAGAAAAATGAATGCCTTTCAGCTGTGATGCTGGAGAAGGTGGTTGAGAATACCTTGGTCTATAAGAAGACTGTGTCATTCAGTACTGACTTAGGTAAAACCCAGCTGCTTACTGAAAGTACTAATAATGAAGCTATACTTTAAATACTTTGGGCATAACACAAAGGTAAGAGTTATTGGAGAAGATGGTGCTTGGAATAATTGAAGGTATTCAAAAAAGAGGCTAGAGGAGGACACAATAGTTAGGTACTGTCACTGATGACACAAGCATGAGCTTACATGAATTCAAAGAAGTAGTTACAAGTAGACAATCCTATTGAAATAATATCCATCAGTCACAAAGAGTTGGAAACAACAACCAACGTATCTGGACTTGCAAAAATCTTGATCACTGGATGGAATTGAAGGATTAGTTTTTCCTGTATCTGTTTGCTCCCATTGAATGGTCATCTGGATTTTTGCCAGCCATATATGGTAGCATTATCTTCTGAGTTGGTTCAGCCACAGGGACTCCTTTATTGCCCTGAGTCAGTGAGGTCCACTTCCTGAGAGATAGTAACAACTGTATCTTGCATGGAGACCTCTGGCTCAGAATCGGAACCCTAGGAAGAAGACTGAATATTTTCATAATCCTAAAAATACACTTTTGGCAAACTGCAGAACAAATTACTAGTGTTACAGAAGCATGATCGTTTTTCTGTGAGAGGAAGAGATACTTCGGGTGAATACCTGGTATTCAGTGTAAAGTTTCACCAGTCCCCATAAAATCCTTTTGACTCCTTAAGGGAAATAACTAGGGCTGTGCAGTGATCCAAATTCAAAGGTTTAAGGGTGATTTTAAATGCTTGGTGGCACTCATGTAGTTCCTGTCAGTAACTCCTTAAAGATGAGTGCCTTTTCTTGTAAGTGCTACTCACTTGCAGTCCATATCGCCTCTCTCCTGTTGAGTCTGGATTGTTGCACAGCCCTAAATTCCTATTCATATAAATGGGGAACGTTAAAGCATTGAAGGCCTCCTGATACCCCAATAACCCATTCTGTTATGGCACCCTGAGGAAGATGAAGATGAAAAAGAAGTAGGACCTGTTCTACTCATAAGAAGCTGCTTTCTTGGCCTGTCTATCAACATAGGTTGTGAAATGAAGTAGAAATAATAAATAAGCTCTCAATGGAAAACTTTATATAAATACTCTATATCAGTGTATATGTATAAATGTATGTATTATTTATTTTCTCCTTAGATGAATGCACTAGACACACTTGGACAGACTGCTTTGCACAGGGCTGCTTTGGCAGGTCACCTGCAGACGTGTCGCCTCCTGTTGAATTATGGCTCTGACCCCTCCATCGTCTCCTTACAAGGTTTCACAGCAGCACAAATGGGCAATGAAGCAGTGCAGCAGATATTGAATGGTAGGTATTTGATTGCTTGACAACAGAAGGGTAATTTTGATTTTCAGAAAAAAAGCCTGTTTGGTTCTAATTTTAGATTTTTGAAATTCATTCTAATTATCTTGCTCTGCAGTTCTGCAGAATTATGAGCAATTTTAAAGTGTGAAAAAAAACTTTAGAATAGAAATATGACTCAATTGGTGGGCCTTAATTTCTCTTTTCATAAATCGGCTCATATGCCTCATCTTTTATTATTAAACAACAAAATAACATTAAAAATCTGGACAGAAAGTATGCATGTCTATTTCCTACTGCTTGTCATTTTCTGCTACATAAACTTAGTGGGCCTTAATTTCTCTTTTCATAAATCTGCTCACGTCTCTCATCTTTTATTATTAAACAACAAAATAACATTAAAAGTCTGGACAGAAAATGTGCATGTCGGTTTCCTACCGCTTGCCACTTGTCCTTTTTAATACATGGCTCCAACTGTGATAGAGGAATACAAGAAAATAGAAGATCAAATTAACTGTGCTAGTCTTAAGATTATTACAGAGATTGAGCTGGGAAATGTTCTAAGAGCACATGTTAAGCATGTGGTGATGTTTTTAATCATTTGGATGAAACTGACGAAGGTATATATGAGACAAAATGTTTTTATTTGGAATTAGAGAGCTTGTTCATTGAATTGTATTGTTATTATTACTGCTCTATTTTATCTACCTTGAGAACAAGGAATTCCTAACATAAAAAGAAGCAATTGATGAAAATAAAAATAATTTTGGAAGTGATGAAACAAGAACCAGTAAACAGAATTAAAAGCAAAAGTGATTTAATTATTTGGGATGAAACAAGTGAAGAAACGTAGAAGGAGTATTCTAGAGATTTCAAAGGGAATAATTGTGATATATCACAGAATAGCAAATGCTAAAATGTTGGTGTCCAAGAAAAAAAAAATTATTAAGTCGTAAGTGCTGCGAGAATGTTGAAAATTGGTAAGGTTGCCGTTGTAGATATTATAACTGGAGAAATGTTAAAATATGGATGAGCTTTGCTTATAAAGAGACTGTATAACTTTACTATCAAATCTTTATTACGGTCATAATGTTTGACTTTACTATGTGAAGAATGTGTCTGTGTCTGATAATTAGAAGAATGTGGTTCTTGTTCCACTGTACAAAGGAAAAAGTGTGAATGCAAAAACTACAAGAGATTAGTTTATGCTTGCCTTGGAAGCATTTGGCAGCATGGTGATCAAAAGAGTGCAAGAGGAATAAAAATTGGGAAGTGCAGTTTAGGTGTTTAGGTCTCCAATTTATACATTTTCTTACAGGTGTAGTATATTGAATGATGTTGGTGTAAACTAGATTTAACTATATTTCCTTCTTTTTTTCAGATGTCATGCCTTTCATTTCTTAAATTTGCTATTTCTTACTCCTTTTCTGGGCTTTGCTTAAAGTTGCCCATCTGAAAGGGAATAGCATGATTGGTACATATATATGCATGTAGGATTAAGTATTTTTAAATATTAGTAAGTTAGCACTATTAAGTCTTTTATTGACACTTACCTTAACAGGAACTATGTAAATTGAGTCAACACTATTCTCCATCTACAAGATTGGGACTGATGTTAACTCCATGAGCTTAAGCAAGGGATGAGATTTGAGCTGGGAATTTTCATACTTGTAACTCAGTTATAATCACAATTCTAGAAGTAATGATACACTCTTCTTGAGCGTTAATGATACTTTCTAACCTAAAATATCCTGTAAAGCCGCAATGCTTACTGTTTTTTTCATCTGTCAAGTAGAAAATACCCCAGTACATACTTCTGATGTGGATTATAGACTGTTGGAAGCATCTAAGGCTGGAGATTTGGAAACTGTAAAGGTATGTTGGAGTTTAAAGATTACAAGAAGTTTAAGATAGATATGGCCACTTTAAATATCATGAAAAAAAACTATTTTATCATGATGGTCTGCAGTGGTCATTGGACTTACATGCTTCTCTCCTACAAATTCAATTTTTAGGTTGTCAGAAATTTTTACTTCCTTTTTTAATACAGGTAGTCCTCTACTTACAACCACAATTGGGACCGGAATTTCCGTTGCTAAGCAATGCAGTCGTAAAGCGAGACATCACATGACCGCATCACTTAGCGACAGCAATCCTGGCACTCCCTATTGCCATTGTTAAGCAAATTCTGCCAGTCATTAGCCGAGGAACCACCCCAATCCAAGCCATTCCAGGCTTGGTCACTCCCAGCCTTGAGCCTCAGTAAGGTAAGGGACTGCCTCCAACTCCCCTTGCCTGCCTATCTCCCCCCACCATATCTGCCCTTTTGGTGGCCCTGCACCCTGCCTTGCAGGGCTCCAAGCAGCCCCAGGACCACATGGCTCTGGAGCTGCTTGCCATACTGCGGCTCGGGCTTCTTGGCCCTCTTTCCCCCTTTGCTCGCACGCACGCACCAGCACCCTCTGTCTCCCTTCGCTGGCATGTGTGCACCGCTCTCTCCTTCGCTCACTTGCATGCACCAGTGCCCTCCTTCCCCCTTCACTTGTTTGCACACGCCAGCGCCCTCCTTCCCCCTTCACTTGCTTGCACACACCAGCGCCCTCCTTCCCCCTTCACTTGCGTGCACACACCAGCGCCCTCCTTCCCCCTTCACTTGCGTGCACACACCAGCGCCCTCCTTCCCCCTTCACTTGCGTGCACACACCAGCGCCCTCCTTCCCCCTTCACTTGCGTGCACACACCAGCGCCCTCCTTCCCCCTTCACTTGCGTGCACACACCAGCGCCCTCCTTCCCCCTTCACTTGCTTGCACACACCAGCGCCCTCCTTCCCCTTTCACTCACTCACACACAGCAGTGCCCTCCACTCACTTGCATGCACTGCTCCCACCACTCACTCACTCACACACACCAGCATCCTCCTTCCCCCTTTGCTCACTCACACACACACACACACTGCACCCTCCTTCGCTTGCTCAAGGAATTTTCAGGGGTGCTTACAGGCGCTAAGGACTCTCCAGCTCGCATTGGAAGCTGCTGGCCATTTGTGAGGCATTCGCCTTCCTCCTGCAAAGCCCCAGAGCCACAGTGCAGTGTGAAGAGGCGTGGCCCATGTGTGCAAGCAAAGGGGGAAGGAGGGCACTAGTCCATGCGAGTGAGCAAAGAAGGGAAGGACGGTGCCATGCAAGTGAGTGAAGGGGGAAGGAGGGCACGGTGCGATGTGTGAGAGCGAGCGAAGAAAGGCCCAGGTGGGTGGGGGAGACTTACCCGAGCAACTTGCAACCATCCCTGCCAGCTTCCCCATTGACTTTGCTTGTGGGAAGCCAGCAGGGAAGGTTGCAAATAGCAGTCATGTGAACACAGGGTGCTTAGCAACTGCTCATAAATGCGAACGGGTTGCCAGGCACCCAGATCACAATCACATAACCTCGGAGTCGCTGCAATGGCTTTAATTTGGGGGACCTGTCTTAAGTCCTTTTTTTAGCACTGTCGTAACTTTGAATGGTTGCTGAACAAATGGTTGTTACTTGAGGACTACCTTTTGCATACCATATCAAAATCATTTATATCAGAACTATGCAATACTTTGGCTTCAACAGCAAAAAAGGTGCATCAAAACATGGAGGGGTGCAAATGTCTGTTGTTGTTGTTTAGTCGTTAAGTCGTGTCCGACTCTTCGTGACCCC